ACTGGACACGATCCAGCAAAGGCTACACCCCCAAAGAATCGATTGAGGAATTCAAAAAGGAGTCTAATGGAACCATCCCACAATACGAGACTCGGCCGAAACAGATGGCAAAGATGGCTAGGGACTATCACAATTCAATTCAAGACAAAGATGAATTCGATGAGTATGGTAGGTTAATCGCTACCAACATGTCACTTGAAAACTGTACGGTCCGCCTTTCAGAGACGGAATTCAACGAGATGGATCAAGAACTGACAGTCGAGGATATTGGATACTCACTCAAACTCTCCAATAATGGCAAGGCCTCCGGTTTTGATGGCCTTCCTTTTGAATTCTACAAAATCCTTGACATTTTATACCGCCAAAGCAAGAATACAGACGACGAATTGTTTGATATTCTAGGTTTCCTCACCACACTATATATTGATGTTGAAAAATATGGAACCATCAAAGGGTGCAAATTCAACTTCGGATGGATGTGTCCTATTTTCAAAAAGGGAGACAAGTCCGTCATTAGCAATTGGAGGCCGGTAACCTTGCTAAATTGTGACTATAAACTGATGACGAAAACCTATGCTTTACGATTAATGCATGTGGCGCCGTCTCTTGTGCATCCTGACCAAGCGGGTTTTATGAAGGGAAGAAAGATTGAAGATCAGGTTAAGCTCGCAAAATTTCTTCTGAACTATGCAGAAGCGGTTGAGGAAGATGGTATAATTGTAGCCCTCGATCAAGAAAAAGCGTACGATAGAATCAATCATAAATATCTCCTGACTGTACTTGAACACATGGGTTTCCCGGCAAAATTTTGCAACACTATTGAAAGTTTTTATACTAACGCGGAGACCGTTGTAATAATCAACGGGGAAATTAGCGAACCGTTTCTGGTTACAAGGGGTGTTAGGCAAGGAGATCCCATCTCATGCTTACTGTTCAACTTGGCTATCGAGCCTCTAGCATGCTTGATTCGCAATTCGGATTTAAAAGGTGTTAAAGTACCTGGAACAGATCGAACTCTTCTCATCTCTCTCTTTGCGGATGATACGACAATATACCTCTCATCTCACGACTCTGTGGAAACACTCTGGAAAATATTGCGTTTATGGTGTGCTGCATCAACAGCAAAATTCAATGAACTCAAAACCATCATACTTCCTTTTGGCCGAAAGGTTTATCGGTCGAAAGTACTAACAGAGCGGAGACTAAACAGACTCATGCACATCGGCTCAATTGAACAAGGGATCAGAATACTCCCCGACGGTCAAACATGTCGCATGTTAGGTGCCTGGATCGGAAACAATGTGCCGTATATAACTCCGTGGCCATCGGTGTTGGAAAAAATCGATTCTGACCTTGAAAGATGGAAAAAAACAACTCCGACGCTTGAAGGGAAACGCCACATCATTAATATGGTCATCGGAGGTCGGACTCAATACCTGACAAGAGTGCAAGGGATGCCACAGGAAATTGAGGACACGTTGATTAAGACTGAGCATATATTCCTCTGGGGTGAGGAAAAGGCCAGAGTAGCCCACGAAACTATGATTTTGGACGTCGCAAATGGCGGCAAGCAAATTCTTGATATACCGGCGAGAAACGAAGCCATAGACCTCTGGAACTTACAGACTTACTTGGTGCAAGGAGTGAGCGCGCATTGTGGTGCTACTTCGTTGATCTCATCCTCTGTAGATTCTTAGAAATGAGCTATCTTAACGTCAGACCAGGTCAAATTTTGAACATCTTCTTACAAGACATCCATATCCCCATCTCAAACAAAACACCAATCCCCTATGAGATCAGAAGAATGGTGCTCGCTGCTCGGAAATATAACCTAAAATTCACGGGACTGTCAATCAGCAAAGACGTACAATTGAACATGCCCATCTGGAAGCACCCTGCTGTCAACAAAATGTATTATCAACATGCGTGTCGGAGGGATGCAGCCAGGTGTCTTAGACTGAATCATGAAGTCCGTACAGTCAGTGACACACTCACCATCGCAACCCGGAATACTGTAGTACAGAGAAAGCCTCACCAGGTAAATCCGTCCGGAATCAGTCGTAAAAATTGCGGCTGCCCTGCCTGTTACCGCGATCGAACACAGCTAGATTGCACGCATCCTGGTGAATGTATCGACACTGCCAAAATTTTGATAAACAGCATACTCCCAAAATGGAACCCAACGATTCAAAGTACAGATTTGTGCGACAAGCTCACCCTAACAGGAGAGGAGTTAGAGTGGAACAAACAGCCGATAGAAGTAGATCGAACTATGGTTTTCGATCCAAACTTTACTTTATCCAGCATTGGACAGGGTTTCCGCATTTTTGCAAATGACGAATCACTTAATGAGATGCCAGCGAGAAGGCTAGAGCTCCCTGGATTTGAATCAAGCACAATGTTGATTTTCATACATGCGCAGGTACACCGTCCCGGCGAATACGACTCAGCAATTGAGGTGTCGATCAAGACTGTGACAGAGGATGACGAACGAATTGAGAGACTGTCCTTATCTTTCGACAACACAGAAATTCCGTTAACATTCCTAACAGCACTTTTAGGAGGGCTATTACTTGTGCTACAGAATACAGCGAAAAATGTCCCACTGAGAATATGCACTTCCTCTGAATTCTTCCAACGGGCCTTCATCAAAGACAGACTAAAATTTGAGAATGATGTATTGGATGCAAAATTCCGCCTCATCAAAGCAGTTTCTGCCGCTCTGAATGAGCGAACAGCTCGCGTTTATTTTGCAAAAGTCTCGGAGAATGAAGCAAAATTTCCGACAATTGAACAACTCCGCGTAAAACAGGTTGACTCGCAAATTGACCTAATGTTTGAATGCCCCGGTGTGCTGTTATCACAAGGTTCACAAAGATTTTTTACGAGAGTTATCAAAAGTCTCCGTCCAACACCTCATCGCAAATCCACATTTGTAAATCTAGACCGTATACGATGCTCAGTCGAAGAACTCTCAAAGTATACGCCAACTGACGAAGCCATTTGGAAATCAATCAGATCGACTGCAATGCAACGATTCACTCGCGAGTTTTATTGGAAATGTATCCATAACACGTTCAGAGTGGGCGACTTTTGGACTCACATTGACACAATGCAAATAAGGGGGGAATGTCATGTGTGTGGCGTACCCGAAACGTTGGAACACATTGCTCTGGAATGTAATGCATATGGGCAAAATGTGATATGGCAATTGACACAACAGCTCTGGTTGAGGAAGTATACTTACTGGCCAACATTGAACTGGGGTCTGATTCTGGGCTGTAACCTGGTCAGATTTAAATCAGAGAAGGGTGTTATTCAGCCTGAAAAAGCGAGACTGTTTTCAAAACTTGTTTCTATTGCTTGGCATCTGATATGGAGCCTGAGGGTTGACAAAGTAGTCAAAAATCCAGAACGAGTACTCACCACGGCTGGAATCCATAACCAATGGTTGATCACGATGAATAAATCCTTACGCCGTGACCAGATCCTCACAGATAAGATTAAATTTGGGACACTGGCGCTGAAAAAACAGCTCGTATTAAACATGTGGAGCGGGCTAATCATGGACGAAGACTCACTGCCAGATGACTGGACTCACTCAAAGGGGGTTTTAGTGGGTATACGGCCCATTATCGATAGGAATGGAATAGGTTAAATATGGCCGGAGCCCCACACTGGTAAATAATGTGCGTAATGGCATTTCCTCCTTGGACAACTTCTCTGGCAACGACTGGCTTATAACCAGCAGCACAAGCAGACAACCTTGGAATGCTTCTGCAGACTAAGTATTGTTATTCCAAACGCTCCAAAAAAAAAAAAAAAAAAAAAACACAGGCCCTAGCACGTGCGTGTATACATTGATCGATGCTGTGTGATGACCGAGTTCTCTGTGGTGCATGCAGCGCTTATTGTCCGATACCGACGTGCTTCACCACTGCCGAGTTCTGTACGACCTCGCCCAATGCAGGCCTCCTGCACCTGGATCTCCCATCTTGGGAGGCGTGTCCCATTCCCACCGCTACCCGCTACCAACCGTCCATTCCAGCCGCCGCTTTTGTTGTGATCTCCGCTCCGTGCATGCTCGCTTCCGACCACCCAGGCAGCGTCCGTGACCGGAGTCGCGCCACCATTCCCTTATGTATCCCGCCCAAATCGCGGCGTCGCCAACTTCAATGCTCGCGAAGGGCTCGTCCAACTAGCAGCTACCCAAGTGTATGGTGACTGGTACGTCGTGTGCACATGCTCATCCGCTCCGCATACTGGCCCCCTCCTTGGCACGTCCAGCTTTTCCTGCATGATACCGGCGTGCGCTCCACCGAGTCTTGCGTGGCACCGACCCATTGTCACTTTCCCGCACCTGCGATCCGTCCTGACACCAGGGCTTCCGATTTCGTGGCGATCTCTGCCAGCAGCCGACAGCGTATTTCGGCCCCTGCTGCTCGCGGTTCTCCCTCCGCTTTCCATACTCATGTTGCGATATTTGCTCCGCACATTTTCATCAACGCACTCAATACTGCGTCTCTCGGTTCCCGCCCCATTCAAGTGGCCCTCCCTCACGCCCGACGTTGGCTCCAGCCTGGAGGGAGTTCCGAACTTCCTACCACTACATGCGAAGGGTGTTTGCGCCAATGTCAAGCAGCTGCATTGCCCACACCCGGTCTGCAACCCCCGGGATCCTCATCCCTCGGCATTCCACGCTAGTACCCGTGTATCGTTTGCTGTCTCTTGTCTACGCTCGCACGTCGTCGTGCCCGGACCTATGTCCCAGTCGCAATATCTGCTTTCATGTCTCTGGCACGGCCCTTCTCATTCGTTTTTCTTCAACGCAAGCTCGCTCCCGAACAGGTGCAAAATTCTCTGCGAATATCTTGCCCTCTTCCCCCTTCGTCGACTCCTCCACTCTCGAGGAGCTCAGTATCGGATGCACATGCAACGTTCATCGCATTCCCAGCGAAACCCTTACGGTGGTTTAAGTCCCCACAGGGTAGTATACTTCATCAGACGTGGTGCACGGTGCGCATCTGCCCTCAGTTGTAATTCAATCCTCTGCTCTTGAAAGCAAAGGAACGGGGTTCGACTCCCCGCGTCTGAATTGACAAGTTCACCCTTTTTTGCTTCCATTTTGGGTGTTAATTCCGGTTTCCCAGCTACGTAGGTTAGCCTGAATTATTTTGGCCAAGAATCAAATCCCTCGGACGTAACGCAAGGTTGGGCAACTACCATGAATGAAAATCTCGTTTCCTGACAACTGACTGAGTGAGTCTTTTTGTGATCCATTGAGTGAGATAAGATGGTTTTTGAACGCGGACTCACCCCTCTCTCCGCCCAACCTGAGTGGCACCCTTTAGACACTCACCGTCGGTGCACCTCAACGTCACCTACAACGAACCTGATCAGCCTATTCCCACTGTGATCTTTCCATTTGTTCAACTCCCTTAAGCTAATTAAATTCATCGGACGTGGCGGCCGTGTGCATCTCCCCCTCAATGCGACGAAAAGCGGTTGACAACAGAGGGACGAGTTCAACTTCCGCGTCCCAACTAACAAGGCGGCAAGTACATAGACTCCTTTTTATTCCATCTTCCATTCAGTGAATTGACCACGTTCTTTTGGCCGCGCTCCTGCGGCAGGAACACTGTATCCCGGATCCTCCGCGCTGGGGTGGTGTACTTCCGGTAGCCAATCCCTTACGCAGACTAGGCTCGACTAACGGTGGTCGCACATGTTCAATATTCGGTTCGCTATACTGATTCGCATCTACTCTCGTCTTATTTTGTATTCACCTGTGGTTGAAGATGGATCGGTACTTGTGACTGCCCGCCTCCCCGTCCAATCCTCTACAACGCAGGTCGACTCAAGGCAGCCTGCGAAGTTGCGCACCTTCATCCCATGTCGAATATAGTTGTGAATAAACGAGTCGGACGTGACGGGCGGCGCGCCTCTGATCAAATTCAGCCTCATCGCATTCTACCCCCGGACGAACGAGGTTCGACTCCTCGTCTCTGTATAATGAGGAAGGTGACTTGTTTTTGTTCTCGAGCCTGTTCTCATTTGGGTTTTCGGTTTTGCTCATGTTCATGCTAATACATCATATCCCGCGCCGACTCTGCCAACAGAGGTTGTCAATGTTCAAATATTCCCTGCTATTTGTTCTCTGGATCATCTGGTTTAATATGGCCGTGGGGTTCAAAATAAAACGCGGTATCTCGCCATTTTCCGGAGTTGCTGGCGCTTCACTCCTCCTCCTGTCCAATATTAAACACTCCGGCCGGAGATTGGCTCAAAACGTCGAGGTCGTACCAACCACTGTTTCGCATTCATCGAATGGGACGTGGTGCATTGTGCGCATGTGTCCTCAATCTTCTGTATCCATACTCACTGACAGGGCAGGGAACGGGTTCGACTCCTCAGTCCGACTTCTCGAGGTTGTTCTGCTTTTGGCATGCCATTTACTAATCTGATTGTGGGATTTTCCGTTCAACGTTAAACCCCCGACCTTGTACTCCTCCTCGGTGAAGCCAATTACGCTTCCTTCCTTCAGCACCGAGCTCGGTCTGGTACTTATTTGCCCTCATCCCGGCGACTCAAACTGGCGAGAAATTGTGATACAATGCGGTGTCCCGGATCTCTTGAATGAGATGTCCAAGCTTCATTTGAGCTTCATTACGAAAAGTGACACAAGCCCCCGCAGAACAATCTGGGGGTTCTTTTTCCACCCCATTGCGGGGTACAGTTACTCTTCAACGAGATCTGGACCGCTCTCCCGTGTCTGAAAAAATCTGCTGACAATCTGGGTATAATCCTGTGAAAGCATCTGCAATCATTCATCAATTAAACCTTATCTCCGTCTGCGCATCTGCTGAGTGTTGGTGCGCCTTGGCTACCCGCACAGAGGTACACCTCCCACTTAATACATCGGATCCGGTGCACGGTGCGCACCTGCCTTCAGTTAGAAGTTGAGGAATGACGGCGTGGTAGCGGGTTCGACTCCCTGGGTCTGAATGAAATATTCGCGATGGTTTATTTTATTTTAAGATTTGGTACATAACTCACCGAATTGCGTTTGGTACATACCTCACCGAATTGCGTGGCGGAGGAATGAGTCAAGTCTCGCCATCAGAGTTCGTTGCTGCAAATGTGTCCCACGGACCACCTGAAGCACATCATACTCTGCACTCTTCTCAAAAATTTGCAGACGAATCCATACCTAGACCGCAAGTCAGTTCGTTATCACCCAGTCCATGAGCCATTCCCAGGGCGCCTTCGTCGTTTTCTCTCGAATGGGTATGAGTAACAAATATCAACTACATGATCCATTTTCGAGTCGCGCCATGCGGTGCGACTTGGTTGTTGAAATTATTTCTGCGAGTCACGGTGGGTTGATTGATTCTTCTCTTACTGTGGCGGGCATCGAGATCTGATTTCGCAGGGCTCACATCGAAGTTGCAACCATATCCTCCAGTCCGTTTTAATTTAATCTATCTTTCTGTTTAGGCGCTCATTTCTGTGTACAATGTAGACGTATAAGTTGGGCACCAACCATCAGCCTTGAGAGTCATGAACTACATCCCAAGGGGTTTTGTTTTAGTTCAGCTGATACATCTGCAACCTTCATGATCTCCGATCACACTCTCGTTCCACCTGAGATGTTGAGGATGTGTGCACGAAATTTGTAGAGGAGAAAGGAATCGGACGTGGCGCATGGTGTGCACCTGTTCTCGATGTATATTCCTGTTTGTTGACAGCAGATTGACGGGGTTCGACTCCCCGCGTCCGAGTGGTCTGGGTTGAAAAATGTTTTTTTTTCTTGCTCCTTTGTTGAACACAGCGAAAGGGAAGTCAAGTTTAGTTTTGTCTCCTGCTACATTATGAACAGAAATTTTCTCCTAGCCAAGTCAGCTCCCAAAATATGTTCAGATAATTAGCCATCCTGTGTCTCGCCGGATTTCCAAGATCCTGTTCAGACTTACGTCACTGTCCTAACCGAGTATGGTTCCTTTTCTGTCTCTGCAAGGGCATGAGTCACAAATATCAACCCACCACAAAGTATATTTCCAGTGGGGCTGAGTCTGTGAGATTATTTCAGGGTGGGATGATAGAGCTCCTCTCATTCTGTCGAGCTCCAAGAAGTGACAATGATTTCCCACCTGAATGTGTTCCCCTCGCAAACTTTCAATCGGACGTGGCGCACGGGTATGGGCGAAATAGTGTGCGGAAAGTTTTGTTCACAACTTACCAAAATTTGAACCAAAAAAATTGGCAACTTCACGCAAAAATACAACTTTCAGCTTTCAACTAGAACTTCTCTCAAATACAACTTCACCAGTCAACAACTTTACAATAGGGCAACTTTGGGAAATCCATTCAGGGAGCAAGTACAACTTACAATTTTCCTAAATACAACTTTTGAAATCTACTTCTTTTCCAAGGAACAATTTTGAGATGTAACACCTTCTGCTTGATGCAACTTCCACTGCTCGGATACAATAGGATACAACTGGGACCTTGGGTGGATTTTAAATATAGAAATATGAGTACCAGCGGTAAAATGAGTACGAGCAGTAAAGTTATGGCAGAAAGGATGCTGGCCCAAAGCATAGATTTTACAAAATAACGAGATTGTGCTGGTCTAGTATGAGGTTCCAGTCAGGTTCCGGTGTTTGTGCAGTGCAGGTATTGAGCTGGTATAGATAGTCTGAATCACATAATAAAGGATTCTGGATTCACACGGCTCAAGTCATGCTCAACTGCAAGCAGCTTGGCATGATCACTCAGACAGCGAGAAATAAGACACTTGGATCCCATTGTGACAAATCAGTATGACCCTCTTTCCAATTATCCCCATTCTAAGCCCTTCTTCCTCCCCTGTATATCCACATATTGCAGCTCTCACACCACTCTATACATGAGCATGATTTTATCAGTAGAGTCTTAACAGACGAACACAATTTCCAAAGCGGGCGTATTTTATCTCGGCCCTTTAAACATAGCATCCTTCCATTTATTTAACCTACTCTGGGGATCATGTGTAAATGACAGGTACAGCCCAGCTATTGATTGAACTGAGCTGTGCATATTGAACCAGCAGAGAAGGATATCTCACACCGGGAAAGATTTGGTACCTGGGATTCTGAGAATGTTACGAAAACTATTAGTTTCGGGGATAGATTCCGTGAGACACAACTGTGGCTGACATCAATAGTCTCTTGACTCCTTTACCATATTATTTCATTCAATTCGACCACCATACATCACACACCCTCTGGTTGATGACAAATAAAAATTATGATTTCGGTTACAAATACTGTATTATTTCAATAGGGGAAGTCAAAGCCCTGGGCAGTGGGGAGAGACTGATGCTGCTGCCAATTCTGGACCCAATTTTTGCCAAATTCTACAGAATGAATCAGTTGAGAATTGAGACAGCTTGGACCGGTCCTATTCTGTAGCCAATTCTGGTGTCAATTCTGATTTTAAAGAAATGGGTACCATGAGAAACAAAATTCAGACTCAGCACTACTGAATTTCTGATGCAGTTACTCCCCTGAAGTAGGAACACCAATATTCCCAAATTCTGTCTCAGATTCTGGTAAGATTCTGGAACGAGAATCAAGCAGAATCGTGGTAGAATTGTAGCAGAATTACAGTTGATTTTGACCCCTCGATGATTAGGATGTGATTACGCAAGTGGGACAATCAGCTGCAAGCCACAATCATTGCAAGAATTGGGCAGAATTGTTGAATCGCCTCCAGAACCAATTCAATTCAACAATTCTGGGTGATTCTGGTTTCATGTGATTTTCCCGTGATATGTAAATCCAGAATCGTTGTCAGACAGAATCGAGCAGAATCCGCTACTCTGACTGCCCCTACTGATATTCTTGATCGATTCTCAAGTCAAGAATTGGCCTCAGAATTGACTCAGAATCAGGCCCTCCCGAGGGCTTTAACTTCCACTATCAAAATAATGCATTATTTGTGATTGAAATCGTAATTTTCTCACCTTCTGAGAACACCTGAAACCATCCATCCTTCCGCTTCTGCTCTGCATGCTACCATCTCGATCATTGCTCAGCTTCATACCAATTTCTTCCCTCTCAATTCCCATTGCTTCCAGTGTAGACTAGTAGACACCCCTGCATACAAAGCCTGTGGGGTGGCAAAAGAGACACAAACCCACTTCCTCCTCCGCTGCCCAGCCTGGGAACATCCGTGCCCACCACTACAATTGGTGTCATATCTACTCTGTAGGAAGCCTCGGCCGCATCGATGATTCTCTCCCTCCTGAAGCTGCTCAATGCAACATCTGTCCATGCAATACACAAATTGGATTGAGTCCCCTTCATTTCTTTTTCACTTCACTTCATACCTTATACTGTATTATTACATTCAATGTGACCGTCACATGTCACGCACCCCCTGTTCGATGGCAAATATCGGTGCATTTGTCACAAAGAAATCAATAAGACCTCATCACCTCTGCGTGCTAGTACTTACCAAATTTCTGAATCATTCCATAAAAGGCAAGCGGGAATTACAGCTTTAATCCTAAAGCCGATAGTTGCAAGCAACATATACTATAGCTGCTCCCAGCTCACTCAAAAGTTGTATTTTATGCTAGCCAAAGTTGCTTCCTTATCATATGTGCAAACACTGAAGTTGTAGTTGTAACATTCTGAAGTTGCAACTTGCAGAAGTTGTGTTCAATCAAAGTTGTACCTGAAAAAGAGATGAAAACCCGGAAGTTGCCCTAATTTCAAGATGTCAAAAGTTGAAGTTGACTTGCGGTTTTTCGGTCCAACCTGCCGAAACTTTCCGCACACTATTTCGCCCATACACGGGGCGCATCTGTGAAAATTCTCTCAGAGGACCCAGTGGTTTGCAGAGGACGGGGTTCGACTCCCCGCGTCCGAATAGGAAACTGCGCTGTGCATTTTTAATTGGTTCATTGGCGAAGATGAAGGTAAACACTGCTATGTCTCAGTACGTACCATAATTAATCCAAGTTTCAATAAACAATGTTCGGAGAATCCCACTTGATTCACTGCAGTTCCTCAAACATTGTTCTCTACGCGGGTCGATTCCAGGTGACAGGCAAACTAAATTCTCTGCTGAGAACTCCCACACTGTTGCAAGCTTGTTGACTCGGATGTGGCGCACGGTGCGCATCTGTCCAATACGTATGTTGTATTGGATGCTTGTTGGCAGGAGAGAGACGAGGTTCGACCTCCCCCATCCGAATGACGCTCTGTCGCCGTCGTTTTTCTTGGGTCGGCACACACACTGGAAGGGAGTACAGTTGAGTTTATTTCTACCAGATTAAACACATCATAGGCAGTATTTTGATCTGCATCCAATTCAAAGTAAGTATGTTCGGGTACCAGTGATTTGTGGGATCTTCAGGAAACTGGCTGCCGGGACAGCATGGTAAATACAAAAGGAAGTGGACGACCTGGTATGCATTAAAACGCTCCACGTTGCCGGATGAACCATGCAAGGTCGCTACCTGTGGGGTTATTTAACTTGCGGTGGGGATTGGGATGAACAGCGGAACAATCGGATCCCTGCCGTAGGTGCCGGTGCAAGTGATCCCATCAGAGAAAGCCTGTAACTTTTTGCTCTCAACTCCAAGAGGTAGGCGGGAATCCCCGATCACACACAGACCTCTTTGACAAGGCCCCCAAATCGGGACTCCGAGATCACCGAAGATCTTTCATCGGGCCGTCTCATGAACTTTCTATTACGGCCTGAAAGCGGCCCCAGATTCTCTCGGATTTTTGGCTACCCCCCCATTATCGATACATTTGCACAGCTCTATGTAGTCAAATTATTTTATTTCCGGCACATAGGCTTGCGGCGAAAGAAAGTCATCTGCGGCCTCACCGGATCAGTCACAAACATATGCAAACTTCCTTGACACGTCTTCTTTTCGTCCACGTCGACTCTTTTTCCCGGGCGCGTTTTGTCGTCCTTTATCGACCCGAATGCATCCCACACGTCCTCTCGACCATCCAGATGTCCTCATGACAGAAAATTCGGACAGCACATCTCCCGTAGAGCCACGGATTGCCGTCGCAGGCACCCCGGCAGGCAGTCTGCTCTTCTCCTCAAATCTTCCACCCACATATCCTGCTGGACAGCAGATTCCACCCAGACCTCATCGATCCATGCCTACCTGGGGTGTTCCGGGTCAGATTAGCCCGAGTGAAGCATTGCCGGCGTCGTTCCCTCCGCTCGACAGAAACAGCACAAATATTGGTACTTTTGACTCCCCTGCTTCGCAAACCAGCGCCGTAGCTCCTTCCTTCTTGCCCACACCTCCACAAATGCCCACCTGGGGTGTTCCGAGTCAGAGTAGTCGTCACAACACACCGAGTCAAGTTTTGCGGGCAAGACTCCCTCCGCTCGACACACAGAGCATGAATATCCGTGCTTTTGAGTCCCCTGCTCAGAGAACTCCATCCGGGCTTCCATTTTCCCCGCAGACCAGTCCGACGACTCCTTCCTTCTCTCCCGTGCCTCCACAGTCCGCTCCGGCAGTGGTTACTGCTGATTATCTGCTCCAAATGTACCGTGATGGAAATCTGCATGCCCGTGCAGCACCAAACCAAAAGTGGGAGTTCTTCTGCTTCAAATGCAACCCCTATGTCAATTCCAGTCTTGGGTGCCACAATTTTTTGCAATCTGCAGGCCATTTCGCGAATCTTGCGAACCATATGAACGGCCGATACTGCAGAGATCATTCCCACAATTCATCCGCTTCTTCATCCCCAGCATT